GTACTGTTACCATCCTCATTTTGCAGAAGAGGAACTTGAGGTACTGTGAAGTTAAGTAACTTATATGGCTAGTAAGCGGGAGAAGGAGTCTACACATTTAACTGCTATGCTATATCTCACAATCCTGTGGAAGTCTTTGGGGTTTCAGGATTAAATGAATGAAAAAATATGGTGTCAACAGTAGGAATAGGGACATCTGGAGAGGAATATAGTTTAAGGAAAAATATGAAGAATCCTTTTTTTAGGTACAGTGAGTTGGGGGTGAGCGTATGTGATAAAAAGGCTTTTTTTTCCTTCCTTATAAGCATCTAGTGACATGGCTCTTGAACTTGATGAGAGTTGATGATATAAGACATATTTGTAGATTAAATAAAATAGCAGGCAAAGGGCTGAAGCATATAACATCTCCTATACAATAGTTAAGAATCTTTATTCAAAAGGTACTGAGAGATCATTGACATTATACATAGAACTGTTTTCTTATGCCAAGACCATTGAAAAAAATGTTAGATGCTCTTAATGTTATATATGTAAAGAACAATTTGTGGGTTCTTATGCCTCCAAACCAGAAGTGCTGATAACACAAAAGTAAATGTTAGACAGTTTAGAAGTATGAGTAATAGCTGGTCATGATGGCAGTTGAGAGTTGAGTATAGTTAATTATTTTACTTTCGTGCATTTATTATGAAACTGATTCAAATTCCTAAATTGAAGATAAATTGATTTTTATTGTTGGTTTTATAGCTCAGAAACCTCTAAGGATTAATTTCTTTTTACCAATAGAAATTCAACATGAAGGATTTAATTTTCTTTTAATTAGGCAATTCTAAGACTACAAGGAGCCCTGCTGGCACAGTGGTTAAGAGCTCAGCTGCTAACTAAAAGCTCAGTGGTTCAAACCCACTAGCCACTCCTGAGGGGAAAGATGTGGCAGCCTGCTTCCATAAAGATTTACAACTTTTGAAACCCTATGGGGGTAGTTCTACTCTGTCCTATAGGGCTCCTATGAGTCAAATCGACTTGAGGACAATGGGTTTTTGATTTGATAAGACTGCTAGGGTTCAGGATGAGCACAGACATATAAAAGTTAAGCTAACTGAAAATAAGATAATGGACAAATTAATATTCTTTGTTTGAATATCACGCAAACATCATTCACTTATTTCCTAAATATTTGCCACAGAGGGAGTATAGTGTACTACACCACCTTGTTACTAGGGTGAATACAAAGCAGAAAACATAGACTCGCTCCCAAGGAATTGATAATTTTATTAGAAACTATGTATTTGTACAAAATATATATGATCTATGTAAAATATATTGTTCAAAATTTACTAGGGCTTCACCCTGTATCAGGCACCTTTTTAAGTACTTGGTACAGTAGTAATTCCTTTAACCCACATGTTAACTCTGTGAGGTAAATTGACTTGATAGCACCCAACAACCACCACCCTCTGAGGTAAGTACAATTATTAGTCCTCTGGGTGCAGATTAGAAACTGAGGCTCAGCAGAATGTAGCTCCTGCTTAGTTAGTCTGCTTTTTCAGTTTACCTACCAAGTACGGATTCTGATTGCTTTGGATAAAAGGGATTCCTCTATATATGTTAATAATGATAAGGGCAAAATATAAGCATCATCACTGTGAGATGAGATCAGAAAGAGAAAGTTCCTGGGGAAAATTTACTTTGAGCTGGATCTGGAAGTTATGGTTACAAATTTGTGGGTTTTCTATGCAGAAGAAAAAGCACAGGCACGGTACTGAAAATGAGATCTTTGTGGTGTGATGAAAAAGTCATACGAATAACAGAATAAATGCATGCTATTTAGCAATAAAGGATCACATAGCTTATCCCTTCAGAGGACTCCACTTCTGCACATACACCTTATTTCTCTGCCTTTTAAAGGAGAAGAGGAACTGCTGAATTGCTTTCTCACTAGACCATCTGTTGTGTTGGATGGCTTCATTCATGTCAAATTGCTTTCCTTTGTGGTATATTTCTGTCTGAGTAATAAGTTAGGAGAATAAGGTAGGTGTAATATAAAGAGTATCATTTACCTGACAAAATTTGCTGGAGGCAAATGACACGCTCAGAATTTGAGTTTGAAGAATATACAAACAAGGGCCAAAACAACTGCACCTGACTGTACACTGGAATGTGATGGCAAGTTAAGAGTCAACATGCTTACAAAAGTGTTGTTATACTCACTCCACCTGCTGACATCCCCCCACCATCTTCCCTTCTTTGCTGGTGAGATCCCTCACCAGACTTTATAAAACCGTATTTCACATAGCATAAGAAGGATAAGGTTAAACTTCTCTTTACATACTAATAGAAATAGTGGTTGTTTGCGGGCCTTGATCCTAATAGTTCTGTTCTCCAAGTATAAGAACCTGAAATTTGTATTATGTTAACAGTTGGGCTCAGAATTCCTTTTAGGGAGGTAACTGCCTTTGGGAAACAACTTTGATGAACTGCTTGGAGTAGACGGTGGACCCTGAGGGCATGAGTGTGATCGTGAACCTGGACAACAGAAAGAAGTTGGCTGAATTGCTCTGCCTAAGACCAGGAGAGTCCCTGGGTGGCACAGACGTTTATGCATGAAAGGTTGGCTGTTCAAACCCATGCACTCAGAGGTACCTTGGAAGACAGGCCTGGTGATTGGTTTTTGAAAGGTCACAGCCTTGAAAACCCTATGGAGCAGTGCTACTCCGCACACAGGGGGTCTCTAGGAGTCAGAATCAACTCAATGGCAACTAATACTCCCACCAACAAGACCAGGAGAGAAATCTGTTCTAACTAGCTGCATAGTTCTCAATTGTATGTATATGCCATAGTTTTATCACTCAGACACCTATTGATAAACATTTGAATAGTTTTCAGTCTTTTGCTTTAACAAATACAGCAAATGGAATTTGATCAAGTAAATGATAATGTCTTTTTCTGTACAGCCTCACCAACAGATTAATCATTTTTCTAGTTTTGGCCAATCTGATAGGTGAGAAATACTATCAGTCTTAATTAACATCTCTAGAGAACGGAGTCTAAAGACAATTCCAAGGATACCCTACTGAGGAAGCTTGAGTGAAAGGAAAGAAAAGTGAGGGGAGAAAAAGGGAAAACAAACACAAGGTAGTGAACTACCAAGCTGGTTAAGCTTCACAAGAAATACAGCCGGTTGCTTGGTAAGGGGGCTGTCTCTTGAGAGGCGGCATAGTGGTACACCTAATTTGACTACTATGCAGGGATGAAAGTATTGCAGGAGAAGATAGGTTGACAGTAGGTAATAATAATGACAGATGAAAGGATTTACATTTTGCTGCACTGGAAATAGAAGGAACATTTTGACAGGAAAGTGATGTGATCAAAGAGGTTTTTAGGAAGATTCAATTTGGATTAAAGTGAGGAGAGTTTAGGGAACACAACACCAGTGGCAAACAAATATAGTCCAGAGAGAAGCAATAGAGGATTGAACTAAGCGGTGTTGGATGCAATATATAGAAGGGTCAGATTGGGCAAGAGATTCCTAATCTGAAGACTCTAGGGGACCCCAGAGAGTCCATGGTTGGGCTTTAGGAAACTTGTAAACCCCGAAAGTTTTATGCAAAATTTTGCATCCTATGACACAAGGGGAAAGAGTTTTTAGATTTCACCTGATTCTCAAAGGCATATGTGAGCCAAAAAATATTTGGGAAACCCTGGATCAGCGAGATTTTAATTTATCTATCACACTGATAGATTTATGTTGTAAATTAGCCTTGTTTATGAACTTGGTATAAATCTATGATGCATTTCATATTTTATATCCATATTCTCTGAACTCCTACTGTACTTATTGCCTGTGCCAAAGTTTTGGTTTTCCTATACTGCACTTTTCTCAGTCACAGTCAAACTATGACTTTATGGTCAAACAAAGTGCAACTTATATGATATAAAAATCTGCTCTTATTCATGTGTATACCACACACATGTATATATAGGTTCAAGTTAGACTTACACAAACCTTTTATTTTTTAATCTTGGCTACTGACTAACAACAGAAGTAGTTTACTGTTTTTCTGTTGCATCACAGCTTGTCCCAGGGGTATAAAGGCCTTACATGAACTGTATCTTATACTCTGACTTGAGAAATTACATTTGAACGCAGCTGGATGTTTGTGTACTGACGTACTTGGAGCAAGAAAGCAGAGCTTTCAGCAGCCCACCAGAGCCCAACACAAGCTTGCAGCCTCATTGAGCCCCGCTTCTCACCTCTCTCTTTACTTGGCGTCCCACTTTCCCTTATGTACCAAAACAGTGCCTCCCACTTCCAGCTGAGAGCAATGAGAACAGAAGGGAGCACTTCGAGAAGTTTTTTTTTTTTTTTTTAATTTGTACAATTAAACTGTGCATTGTTAAGACATTCTGACCACCTTTGAGAGAAATAAAACCTTTGGATTTTGCTTTTAAAATTTGTTCTAAATGCCATGAAATTTATGCTTTGGGATGGCACTTGCCTCTTGAGCATTTAAAAATATTATATGTGTTAGATATTTTTCAAGGGAAGATTAAACTTTAGCTCTTAGCTCTCCATTATCTTATCTAGATATTCAATTTAATATTTCTGTGCTTCAGATGAAAAACAAAAGTTGCAGAGTCACATAAAATTAAGAGCCTGGGACTAGGACAAGGATAGATGAAAACTTCTCAAACACTTTTGAAAAGTAGATTACAAAGGAAATTTTTTTCTTTTAAAAAACTGATTCTTATTATTGAGATTAGAACAGAATTTCAAAAAAAGTGTCAAAAAGAATAAAATTCTCTTTAAACTTCAGCTGCTACTGGAGCTGAATGTTTGTGAATAGGAGCCTTAATATTTTTAACAGCTTTATTAAGGTTTAATTTACATATCATAAAATTCACCTGTTTTGAAGACAGGGATCCATAATTTTTTTTATTGTATTGTAGGTGAAAGTTTACAGCTCAAGTTAATTTCTCATACAAAAATTTATACACATATTAAAAATATGGAATGCTTCATGAACTTGCATGTCATCCTTGTTCAGGATGCTAGTTTTCTCTGTATCTTTCCAATTTTAGTGTATGTGCTGCCAAAGTGAGCACAGGACCCAAAACTTTGATAAATCATCATATAATAGTCACAAGAGCTACTTCTGACTCTAGGATGCTTCATGTATGGTAATTAATATAGTAAATATTTTGTTGTTATGGCAATAAAAAATCCCAATCACTGGTCACAATTTTGATAAGAAGATATTAGAATCCTTTAAGGAAACTTGTCAGAAGTGTCATTCCCACTGTATGTTATTACTCTAGTCTACTTGTTCAAATTAGGGCTCTCATATTAGACTTTGAGTTACAGCTTTCCACCCACATGATATTTCAGGAATTCCCAGGGTGTGTGTTATGAGGCAAGTACTTCCAATTTGAAGGAAATATGAAATGCCAACTGAAGATAACTTCTACAGTAAAACATAAGAAAAAATGAACAGATTACATTCAGCAAATAGCTTCTCTAACACTTTTGTTACTTCATTTAAATTATTAGGGGCTTTCAAATTCATTTCTTATTATTCAGGTCTTAAAGAGAATCTTGACCAACAGTCAAGAGATCTGGTTTTAGGTACTGCTGTGCTGTGCTACCTTCCAAGTCCCTGGGTGACACAAATGGTTTGCTCTGGTTCCATGGAAGAAAGGCCTGGCAATCTGCTTCCATAAAGATTACATCCAAGAAAACCCTATGGAGCTATTCTACTCTGTAACACATGGGGTCGCCATGAGTTGGAATTGACTCGATGGCAATGGATTTGGTTTTTGGTTTTGGTGCTACTTTCAAGGTGTTCACACATCTTCTTGATTCAGTCACAATCTCTAGGGCTCAGTTTTTCCATTTATTAAACTGAGTTTAGGATACCTGCCTTGACAAATTTAGAAAGCTTTAATGAGGTGCAATGAAAATAATGTATGTAAAAAAGCTTCAATAGCTACAAAGTCCTGTGCAACTGTCATATACTACTTTTATTATTATCACAATTCAAGGAAATTTTCTACATTAATCAAAAGAATCTGCAAATAGTTTAAAATAGCTATATGTATTTGACACTATGTACTCCAAGATAAACACATGCGGCTCTTAAATTCAAAGAGTTAGGCCCTTTGTTCCATATGGAATAATGAGGAGTTGGAATGGATTCCCTACCTTCACCTTCAACTTCCTATGCTTTCTTACTGCCATTGCCAAGGGTTCCTGCTTATTAAATAATCACATTAAAATATATCAAAATTTCCAGTAGTATCACCTGACGAATGACCACTTTTTTTTTAAGAACATGAGGTAAACTTGTGTTGCTAAATAATTTAGCTTTGTTTGTAGAGCAAATGAGTGCATTCGTTGTAAAGCAAATTAAAGATTTCATTAAAAATTACAAAGAAGAAATAATGATGGAAAAATTGGCAATAGACATTGGTGATTGTTGCACAACATGATTGATGTAATTGGTGTCACTGAAGTGGACACGTGAAAAATACTGAATTGGTAAATGTTGTGTTATCTATATTTTTACAACAATAAAGAAAAAGAAGCAATGGCATAAAATAATAATAGTAAAACTAATGTTAAAAAACTTGGCTTGATGATGGTGGCATTTCAAGCCTCAGACTCTATCCTCAGCTCTTTGATAGTATTGGTCAAACTATACATTTCCTCTTCAAAAACATCATTTTCCATAAAATTCAGGTAATAATTTTAACTTGTTATTGAGTGCATTAGGTGTTTTGGACATTCCAGAACATATAGAGCTTTTTCACGTCCCTGGCTTTTACTCTCTTCATCCCTCTCATGGAATGCCTTTCCCCAATTATCTACCTGGCTGAGAGCTCACACTTCTAATAAAGAAAAAACCTGTTGCCTTTGAGTCCATTCCAACTCATAGACACCCTATAGGACAGAGTAGGACCACTCCATAATGTTTCCAAGGCTGTAAATCTTTGTGGAAGCAGATTGCCACATCTTTCTCCTGAAGAGCAGCGGTTGGGTTCAAACCACCAACCTTTAGGTTAACAGCTGAGCACTTAACCACTGCATCACTAGGGCTCCCATTCTAATCAAAACAACAACAACAACAACAAAAACAAACCCATTGCTGTTGAGTTGATTCCGACCCATAGAGTGCCCTTAATAATCATTTCTTCTGTGAAGAGATGTTGACAGTTCTTTACCCCCACCACATTGCTCCTTTTACTTCACAGAGTAGAACTAACCACTTCCTCCTTTATGTTCATACTGTACCCAGTGTAGAAGTCTATCATAACACTTCTTTATATTACCTTTGAAAAGTTATAAGGATTGTGAAGACACAATACAAACGTTGCTGTTTTTTACAATCTGTATCAAGCTCCATGCTGGCATACAGTAAGAAATTACTATCTGTTACACATCAACCATTAATGCCCAAGATGAAGAAACTGAAGATTTTTACCAACTTCTGCAGTCTGAAATTGATCAAACATGCAATCAAGATGCATTGATAATTACTAGTGGTTGGAATGCGAAAGTTGGAATCAAAGAAGAAGGATGGGTAGCTGGAAAATATGGCCTTGGTGATAGAAATGATGCCAGAGATTGCATGATAGAATTTTGAAAAACCAATGTCTTATTCATTGCAAATACCTTTTTTCAACAACATACATTCAACTTTTTTCAACTGCGACTATACATGTGGACCTCGCCAGACGGAATACACAGTAATGAAATTGATTACATTTGTGAAAAGAGACAGTGGAGAAGCTCAATATCATCAGAACAAGGCCAGGGGCCAACTGTGGAACTGACCATCAATTGCTCATATGCAAGTTCAAGCTGAAGCTGAAGAAAATTAAAACAGGTCCATGAGACCCAAAATATGGCCTTGAGTATATCCCACCTGAATTTAGAGACCATCTCAAGAATAGATTTGACACACTGAACATTAAAGACTGAAGACCAGATGAGATGTGGAATGACATCAAGGACATCATACATGAAGAAAGAAAAAAGTCATTAATAAGACAGGAAAGAAAGAAAAGACCAAAATGGATGTCAGAAGAGACTCTGAAACTTGCTCTTGAACACAGAGCAGCTAAAGTGAATGGAAGAAATGATGAAGTAATAGAGCTGAACAGAAGATTTCAAAGGGTGGCTCAAGAAGACCAAGTAAAATATTGTAATGAAATGTGAAAAGACTTGGAGTTAGTAAATCAAAAGGGAAGAATATGCTTGGCATTTCTCAAGCTGAAAGAATTGAAGAAAAAATTCAAGCCTCTAGTTGCAATACTGAAAGATTCTATGGGCAAAATATTGAATGACGGAGTAAGCATCAAAAAAGATGGAAGGAATACACAGAGTCACTGTACCAAAAAGAATTGGTCAATGTTCAGCCATTTCAGGAGGTAGCATATGATCAAGAACAAATGGTACTGAAGGAAGAAGTCCAAGCTGGACTGAAGGCATTGGAGAAAAACAAGCCTTCAGGAATTGACAGAATACTAACTGAGATGTTTCCACAAAGAGATGCAGCACTGGAGGTGCTCACTAGTTTATGCCAAGAAATTTGGAAGACAGATACCTGTCCAATTGACTGGAAGAGATCCATATTTGTGCCCACTTCAAAGAAAGATGATCCAACAGAATGTGGAAAGTGTCAAACGATATCATTAATATCACACGCAAGTAAATTTTGCTGAAGATAATTCAAAAGTGGCTGCAGCAGTACTTTAACAGGGACTAATAGACAGAAATTCAAGCTGGATTCAGAAGAGGATGTGAGGGATATCCTTGATGATGTCAGATGGATCTTGGCTGAAAGCAGAGAATACCATCAAGATGTTTACCTGTGTTTTATTGACTATGTAAAGGCATTCGACTGTGTGGATCATAATAAATTACGGATAACATTGTGAAGAATGGGAATTCCAAAACACTTAATTGTGCTCATACAGAACCAGTACACAGACCAAGAAGCGGTTGTTCAAACAGAAGGGGCTACTGTGTGGTTTAAAATCAGGAAAAGTATATGTCAAGGTTGTATCCTTTCACCATACTTATTCAGTCTGTATGCTGAGCAAATAATTAGAGAAGCTGGACTATATGAAGAAGAATGCAGCATCAGGATTGGAAGAAGACTCATTAACACCCTTCGATATGCAAATGATACAACATTGTTTGCTGAAAACAAAGAGGACTTGAAGCAGTTATTGATGAAGATCAAAGACTATAGCCTTCAGTATGGATTACATTTCAACATAAAGAAAACAAAAATCCTCACAACTGGACCAATAAGCAACATAGTGACAAACGGAGAAAATAATGAAGTCATCAAGGATTTCATTTTACTTGGATCCACAATCAACGTCCTTGGAAGCAGCAGTAAAGAAATCAAACGACACATTGCATTGGAAAAATTTGATGCAAAAGATCTCTTTAATGTGTTAAAAAGCAAATATGTCACTTTGAGGACTAAGGTACACCTGACCCAAGCCATGGTATTTTCAATTGCTTCATATGCATGTGAAAGCTGAACAATGAATAAGGAAGACGGAAGAAGAATTGATGCCTTTGAATTAAGGTGTTGGGGAAGTCTATTGAATATACCATGAACTGCCAGAAGAGTGAACAAATCTATCTTGGAAGAAGTCCAGACAGAACGCTCCTTAGAAGTGAAGATGGCGAGACTTCGTCTCATGTACTTTCGACGTGTTATCAGGAGGAACTAGTCCCTGGAGAAGGATATCATGCTTGGTAAAGTAGAGGGTAGAGGGTCAGTGAAAGAAAGGAAATCCCTCAAGGAGATGGATTGACACAGTGGCTGCAACGATCGGCTCAAGCATAGCAACAATTGTGAGGATGGCGCAGGATCTGGCAATGTTTCGTTCTGTTGTACGTAGGATTGTTTTGAGTTGGAACTGACTTAACGGCATCAAACAACAATAACAACAGGTGGAAGAAGGAACAAGTGGTGAACTCTTGAATTAGATTTAGCATTGAATTTGGGACATGCAGAGAAAGCTATGGAAGCTAAGTGTTTGCTATAGTTAAGGATCAAAGCTATAGAAACATAGCCCACGTA